AATGAACAATCCGCCTGACTTTATCCTTCAATTTCGACGAACAGTTTGAAGACGGGATTATCCGTTCCAGATAGCCGGCCTGTGTACAGCCGCCCCCTCCCCTCAGAAAAAAAAAATCGGAGAAGGGGTGTCTGTCGGGAAGGCGGAAGGGGGCGACTGTACACAGGCTAGTCTCAGACGGATAATCCGTTTCTAGCTCTAGTGTGAAAACGGTCAATAACAAAACTCCGATGTCCAGTGTTTTTAATGATAGTGAAGGACTGTACGGAACCACTGTCAGCCGTTGCCTTGTCCGTAGGTCTCATTATTTCGTGCGGCTAATGCGTTTCGGGTCACCTGGTCCGAGCGAGTTCGCCACCGAAATGCCTTGACCGAGACTGCGTGGGAAGACGCCGTACAGGGACTAGGCATGGCATGGCAGTCTACCGTAGCGTCACAGAAAAACAGGGAAATGTTGTTTATCGGTAACGTGTTTTACAAACAGTGAGATCTCTGCGTGTTGTTTCACCAGTGTTTCAAGGGCACGACCTTCTGAAAATCGCAAATATTAATCCCTGACAAGAAGCCACACTTTCGCTATGGAAAAAAAAAATAGTTCCCCGAGAGAACGCCGGAAATGGAAATGGGTGTTGGTCAACACCTAAAAGGCGCTTTACCTAACGTGCGTACGGAGTCACAACAGCCGGGAAATAAAAAAACGTAACCATAAGTGAGTTTAGTACCTTCCTTAAAAGTAGCAAATCTAGGGAACAATTTCTTTTACGGTTAACTCTTTTTTACCCTATTTACGGCTAACGGTTAAAATTTCTCAATTATTACGGCTATCGACTAAATTTTTGGCCGGTTTACGCCTATCGGTTAACCCCATTGAGACCCTCCTCTAACGAAACAGCCACATGTTTATGCCAGAAAAAACTCTAAACTAAGACAGATCTAGTTTTTAAGCTATATTTATTTCATCAGATCACCATATATAGTAAGTAATAACGTGAAAACGTCCATAATGCAAAGAAAGAAACAAAGAAAGTTAGTAACAATGGTCAACAGGGTCAGCCCAGGTCCTTCAGGGCACCTTTGACGAAGTCTTTTTTATATCATTATTATTATTATCATTATTATTATAATTATTGTTATTATTATTATTATTATTATTATTATTATTATTATTATCTCAGTAACTTATTACACCACCCTAAAAAAAGGAAAGAACGAAAAACAAAAGTACGTAGTGTTAAAAAAAACAAAGAAAAAGCAATAATTATACATCATCAATCAAAGTACATCTGTAAAGAGCGGAGTTTAAGTATTATTGACTAACTACTTACGTTTAAGTGGAAAAGAAAAATCAGCGATTCTGAAGGAATTAGCTGCAGGTGTCAGGGGTAAGACAGCTTATCTTTTTTCACGAATTTTAAGATAACTAAATGAATAAGTGGGAAGAGGTATTTAAAGAATGTTGAAGAGGAGATCCCACTGTTTTGACAGATCACGGTTTGCTTTGGATTCTATTTCATAATAATTATGTTTTAGTTGTAAAAACTGGATTTGGTTCTAATTCTGATTCCTCTTTTTACAGATCCAGATATAGTAGCTGGCTAAAAGACCAGTGAAATTAAGTTGATGTTGTCGATTTGAAGAGTCAGGCCTAAGACCAAGTGCTACTTACAGTAATTTGTACAGAGCAGGCAAAACCCGAAAGAAATTAGTCGTAGTATTAATGAAGTACAAAAAGAAGAGACCTTAGGGTAGAACCAGAAAAGATGGGCAATCCCATCTTTCCCGTGACCACAAAAGTTGCAATTAGGGTTGTTTCTTTTCCGATAGTTTGTCAGAACTGAAGTCATTTGCGGCAAGCCAGTCTATGGAGAAAGTTGGACTGGAACTCCATCGACACCCGTATACTTTTAGTGTGGAAGGCAATAGTGTTAGACCATTGGGGTTCATCGCTCATCCTGTTGTTTAGGTCCACCATCCATTTAATATGTTGACTGCGGGTTGGGGAAGTACATTTTTGAGACAATAATACCGAGTATACTAGCCGACTTAAGCTTCCAAGAAGGGCTTTTTTAATTTTATTTGTAAACCGGCTGTTCTCAGGATGAAGAACTCTCCATAAATCAAGTAAATTCAGATTCTCCGACGATTCGTCTAAAACTTTAATTTACCACTCAAGTTTTCCCGAAGCCGCCCTTCTTATCTTTCTCTAAATCGAACACGAGATTAAAATCTCCCTCTATAACTATATCATCACAGTTAAAGTCAGAAAGGCGATAAAAAAGATCTTCGAAGAAAGCTGGATTGTCTTCGTTTGGGGCGTAAATATTAGCCAAGGTCATATTAACATCATTTATTGTCAAGTCGAAGATCAGAAACCGTACCTCCTGGAGCATGGATAGACTAATGCTTTGATCTGAGCCAATTAAAAACCTGTCTTCGTTTTTCATTGTCTCTTAATCCCCTGACATTCAATGAGGCTGTTTTAAAGCCGTGTATGTTTTTTTGTGCAGAAATCCCTTCAGGACTTGTGTACCAAGAGCCATTTGGCCCTTGATGTTACGTATTACTAATTTTTGTAGCCAAGATTTGCGATTATAATACCCCCCAAAATCAGCAGTTGTGAAAGACAACAAAGGGAAAATAGATAACAAGACAGTTTTGACCTGAAAAAAGTAAACAATTATTAAAAAAGAAAACAGACACAAGAAATTTGAAAACAAAACAGAAAACCAAAGGCAAAAAACTCAGCAGGAAAATAATAAGTCAATCAAAATCCACCGCCTTAATCTGGGCAAGTTTTGAATTTTGACCCATAATCTTTTGAACACAATCCGAAATCACAAGCACTGAACTAAACTCGGTTTCAAACGTCGCCCTACTGCCGTGCCAAACTGAATTCATAAATTATAAATGCATTAGAATACATTTAAAAGTTTGCTTAAACGTTTCTTTAATTTTGTGTTTTGTTTTCGGCAACAGCCGTTCTATCCGACTGAATTAAATTCGACCTCTGAAACCAAGTCGTGCTAGTGTCGTGCTGCAGTCGAGCTACAGTCGAGCCAGCTTAGCACGGCAATAGCAATTGACGTTTGAAACAGGCCTAAAATTAAAATCACCAAAAAAGTCCGTCGAATATTTTCGCAAAAAAGGAAAACTCAAGCCTCGAAGGGCATGGCTTGAGCCTGATTCGCAAAAAATATTGAAATAAACATAACTTTGTAAAATTCAACAAAACCATTTACTGTCATTGTATCAATGTTCCTGCATGAAACTAGCTAGACTGCGAGCAGTCTATTATTTTTCTTTGCAAATTACTGCACGCGAAACCCAAGCACGCGAGCCGAGATAAATATTAAGCTTAATAAGCATTCTTAAGAAAGCAAGATACCAAACTATGAAGGATATAAAGGATTCTTAATATGTCGCAAGCGGTGTTATAGCTGTAAGATCTAAAGATTGAGAAAATTTTAGCAAATTAATTAATATGTATAGGCTGGCACACTAGCCAAAACACAAAAACAGGAGAAAGTTGGTGAAAATTATAAACTTTTCGCGTCACCATCAATAAAATTTACAACACCACAAAAATAGACTTACCACAGCTTAAAGACCAAAGCACCAAAAATGATATACTGCAATTTCCTTAAACAATGTTGTGGGAACGACAACTTCTTCACAATGAACCACAGATGGAACAAGACGAAGCTAAATGTTGCAACTTGAAA